AAATATTTCTTTGAATACACTGTTAGCGAGAGCACTGGTTCATATGCCTCCTATGTTAAACCCATGCGAGACTAAAGTATTGCAACTTTATTTCAAAAAAATGTCTCTGAGAATTACTGTTTAAATTATGCATTTCACTTTTTCTCTGTTTCATTTTGGAATAAAATAATATAAATACTGTTGTAACTCAAGTACTAGAACCTGGTCTTCGAGAATGACAACATGGTTTGAAATACAATTTTGATCAAGATCAATTATTTTTTGTGAATAAGTTTTGTTAAGTACTAAATTCATTAAAGTGCCGCTCTTATAGAATAACTCGTGTTTTGCAAAAAATTATTAATGTTATTAATAACTTAAAAATAATAATTGTTTTAAAATATTTATAAAATTTTATATTTATACATAATGATTCAAGAATTTAAGGTTTTTAAGTTTTTTAGAATATTAGTGAGCTACAACAACAAAAATTAATTTTATATTATTTTTATTCATTGAATTTTTGGCTTACCATATAGCTGTTTCGAGTATTGCCAAATACCCATCATCTGTGGTCTTGGAAATAATTTAAGATTTAAGAAATATTTCGAAATAGAAGAATACAAAGCTATCAATAAGCAAAAAGAAACTTTAACCTATTTTTGAAAATGGTTCGCTCAAGAATCTTTAAGTTGACAAATCTTCCTTATGTGCTTACAAACAAAACATATATGTTATATATTTCTTTGTTGTTAAAACCTGATTATGATGAATTTATGGTCTTACTTTTTATTCACTTAGTATAATACATTATAATAACTTTATTTTAATAAACCACAATAGTTTTATTATTTTGGTTTTTCATTGTTTGTATTATTGCTTTTGTTGGATACTTTTTAGTCAGAGTTTTTATTACGGAAGTTTCAAAAGATCGTAACCATTCTAATAGATACAATGTCATTGTGAAAAGAATAACAGTTTGGAACTTCTAATTTTAAAGTTTAAATTAGTGTTAGTTGAGACTAAATAAAAAATTAAATTTATTATATCCACTACTATAGCTTTTTTATGTTTCATATAACTATTATATCTCATATTTGGTTGTATTTACATATTTTTTTTTGCTTTTAGTTCCACTAACAATGGCTTATAAATTGAAATGAGATAATTGCAGCCAAACTATGAGTCCAAAGTGTTGCTTATTTTATAATTAAATTAAATTTGTGTGACCGATTGATACCTTAATTTGATGGAAGTGTTTTTCGTCATACTTGTTTGTTTTTTTTTCCCAAATTTTAATTTCTATTGGCATAAGAAATTAATCGTAGCTAACAACTGCTTTATAAATTTTAAAGCAATTCCCACTGCAATAGGAAATAATAATATAATTTTATATTATACCAAACCCATTTGTTCAGTTTGGCTAGAAGTTAGGCGATAACGAGAAGGTCACATTTTGGCTGACATTGCAAAACCTACTAGAGGCTGCCTGACTACCTAGCTGCCTAGCTGGCTGCCTCTAGTAAGTCAAGTTAGTAGCCAACCTACCATTCTTCATTTTTGGGTACATGTGTTAGCACCAAAATCGTGTCGAGATTTATTATTATTAGATTCTGTTCTTGAAGCGCTTTTATATTTACTTAGTAATGAAAATGCAATAAAATGCCATTAAAAATTATTTGAAACAATTTCCTTGCGATTGTCACGTATTCTGTGCCTTTACCGACACTTTACATGCAAACCATTATGAGTTTTAATATTAGCATTGACTGCGGCATAAAGGTTAAAATATTTTACAACATAATTGAAGAAGAAGAAGTAAATGGTTAATGGTTGTTTTTTGATTTTATTTTTGTTAACAATTCGCGCTAATATTAACCATGACGGTAATCGATCATTTTACATTCAAAACATTCATACTTGGTTGGTTGGTTGCAGTGGCAGGCCATTCGATAGCTCCCACATACCACAATTAGCGATTTATCGCCATTTTGCCACCACATTCCTCGCAAGAACCCCTAATATAGAAGAGTAGAGACTAAATCCATCCCGTAGAATTTAGATAATTTAATAAGTCTGTTGTCTTCACCGATGAACAGTCTAATAAACTGTCGAAGAAGTATTTTCCTAAAAATCTATTATAGTTTTTTTTTGTCAGGAATGTGCAGTTTCTTTGCGTGGGTTCCTATACACCAAAGACCAGAAAGAACTGCACTAAGTCTTGCAGTGTTCACGCGGTGTCTTTAGATGAGTTCCGCGGATTTATTTTTATTATAGATGGACCATGTTAACCTGGAAGTTGCACATGACTTAACTGTAATTCATAAGTTGAATAACGTAGAAGTAGGTACTTCTCTTAATGGTCCTTAGAGTAATATAATCCGGTATCGCTGTGGACACAAAGAGAAAAGCATCAGGACGGGTTAAACTGTCAGCTTTCTATTTCCTTCGATGCTCCTATGTCCAGGAACTCAGATGAGTATTGTTTGTTTACTTAACCAACAATTTAATATTGCTTGTGAAGTGGTATTATCTAAATTTGAAGTGTTAAATGTTAATTTTTTTCTAATCAAAGCGATATTTTTTATATATTTTTCATTGTTATATGTAATGAACATAATAAAAAAGCTAATAGAAATCGGCAAAAATTATATTATATTTTATTTTATATTATATTTTCTTTGTATCCTATTAATGATAATTATTAATATTATTAATTAATATGATAAATATGCAATGACAAATACAAAATATTCTTATGTTGAGGGCTCTCTATAGAGAACTATTAAATCAAAGAATACATTTGTAACCCCATGCTGGAATTACTTTTTTAATTTTTCTTGTTTTTTTTTAACCATTCATTATTCTATAAGTACTTTTCTATTATTAGATATTTCCTTCGACCTTCGACATTGCTTTATTAAATTTAAGTTACACATTTCTCCATATTATTATTATTCCATTATTCCGTCTTCCATTCCATATCTCTTTTCTACTATTAAATAATCCTTTCGACATACTTTTAGGAGAGTCATCAACACATACTTGGCTACGACTCTGCGATTAATTACTATAAATCAATTGATTAAAGATTTTTACTAAATCGCATAATCAAAATATTTCTTAGATATATTGTTAGGGCACTATTCTTAGATATACCATTGAAAAAAATTTTTTTGTACGGTTTTTACGATTTGTGGCTTTTTTTTATGAAGTAACTAGTATATGAATATATCAAAACTTCATAATAATCCGACGTTTACAAGTCAAACTCATTTTAGTGACGTTACGTTAATAATTTTCAAAATGCTACGGTCTGAATTTTTTGGGTTGATAAATATTAAATTGGGATAATTTATTAGGCAAATGGATTAAGAAATGTTTGTCAGAACGTCAATTATTTTTCGATGAGGTGCTAGGTTGTGATCAAATGGAAAAAATTAAGTTGACTAGTTTTACTTTTTTGAGATTCAAATATCATATATGTCTAAGTCTAAGTTATATGGCTAAGTCCAATTGAAAGCTTAGCTTCATTTATGCTTAATTTAGAACGCTACACTCTCTCTGGAAATCTCTGTAAAAATCAAACTACCCATCTATAACTTCAATATCAAACCAGTGCTCTTTTATGGATGTCAGACGTGTGTCTTCCGTCATCGACACACAACTAAAAACCTTTTTCAACAAATGCTTGCTTCAAGTTCTCAACATCTGGTCGCCTTATCGTATCAGCAATGTTAATCTTTGGGGTGTCACCAAAAAAATGGCAACTTCTAAAGAAGTATCCATGCGCAAATGGTATTAGACCCGTCATACCCTTTACAGACCCCTGACAACATTACACGTCAAGCACTTAAATGGAGTCCCCAGTAAATCTCCAGTAAATTATTTTTGAAATGACATCAGCCGAGAAGCACGCAATAGAGTTCGATACAAAGGGATGGTGGTAGCCCTATGCTTTACAAGGAGAAGAGAATAATAGAAGAACATTTCACAAGACTAGACACATTAGTAGTAGTAAGAGTTTTATAGTATAAACTGATATATTCTTAGCTCATTTTAACTTGTTATTGAAATTAACGGATGACAATTTTTTATCGAATTTTATACAAATAAACTTGCATTCTGGGATAAATCCACTAAGAATTTGTTCAACAATTTTGGTCAATGAAGTTTGAGTTTGAGGGAAATCTGTTGTCTATACTCGTATATATTATATAGAGATTTTCAAGGGAAATTTAATTGTGCATATTGCAATTTGATGAAGAAATAAACATATAATATATTTTCTATATAATATACTTATACTTTCTAGATGAAAGTATTATTTTATTGCTGTTTATTTATCAATTATGACTTTTTGTCATAACGTGGGTTAGTTTAATTTTCCACAATAACCACTCTTAAAGTTGAAATCAGGAAGCTTGCATTTTACATAATATTCAGACATGATTTGACCATCTTTTTAATATTTTGCAGATAAATAAAATTTTGTTGTTTTTTTAAAGGAAGCGCAAAAAGCAATTGAAATTGTCAGCAACATTTTTTTTGACAACTTTATATACATATTTTTAAAAGCGTATGTATATAATATTAAATCCGTCACAGTGCGAGACATCCTATAGTACTAATACAAACTTAACTAAAATGAGAAGCAGCATCGATTTATTGATCCCTCTAGGTGCTTTAAATATTCAAAGTAGCTTCTGAACTAATCGGATGCAATCAAGCAAAGTCACTGTTTGTGGAGGTATTTAGATAAAAACTGTGGTTATTATGTTTTAATATTAATGGTTTAATTTTTTAATGGTTAAAATTAGCGTATTCTATTATGTAGCTTCAATATTAAGAAATATATTTAAGCGTATAAATAAAAAAAATTTATTATTATAAATAATAAATAAATTTGTTTGAAGGGTATTCAAACTTCGGCTAAGCCAAAGCAAACCTTTATATTTACAATATTTTAATTTACACAATTACACAATGACTAACTATTTACTCTTTTTTTTTTGCCGTAGAAATGATGGTGACTTTTGTATGCCCAACAGCAGAGAACTGTCAGCAATAATTTCGTCTGTTGCTGCAACGACATCACATTTAATGACAACAGTTGCAACTGGAATAACACATCCTACAACACAATTACCACATACTTCCATCAGCAACATAATTGTAACAAAAAACAAGTGCAACGACAAATCTTGCAGTAGCAATAATAACAGCAACAGCAAGAGCAATAGCAGTGGCATCGATAACAATGATGTTGTTAACAGCGGCAACAATGACAAAAAAAGCAACAATACTAACAACAGCAACAATAACAATATAAATGATAACAAGCTAAATGCAACAACACTGAATATTCCGGCAACAATTGAAGAACATCAACAAGAACAACAACAGCTAACACAGCAACAACTTAAATTGCTACGGCAAAGCACTAGCAGCGATGATGATTCCGCGATGCAATCATTTGAACGCCGTGATTCCAGCTCAAGCGGCTTTTATACACGTAGCGGCTGCAGCGCAACTATGGAAAGTGAATACAGTGCAATGGTGGCATCGGTCTATCAAAACGAAATGGCCAAGTAAGTACACCTCTCCTGAAAGGCACTCTTACCTTGTGAACGCATATTCAATTTTAGTTACATTTCTCCCCGCACTTATGAAACTTGTTTCTACCTGGGCCGTAGATAAATAAATTTTCATTTAAATAATTATTGTATAAATTTTTGAAGTGGTTCAATATTTTTGTGCAGTGGTGTAAAATATCTGTTCTGTAGATGCAATAAAAACAGTAATAGTTATCTTTTTGCTTATAGAAGTTGTCGAATCAGTCTTTATTAGTTTTATTAGCATAGTCCGCGCTAAACTAGACAATTTTAAATCTTTTTGACAATACGTTAGTCTCAAAATAATGCTAATGTTGACTTAACTTCTACAAACCGACTGGAATATGTACAATAACACTATTAGTCTCTGACAAAATTATAGTAAAACTATAACTACACAATCAAAAACAGAACAAAAATTTGGGGTCTCCTATAAAATCTTATGGAATCCTAAAGAAAAATAGAATTTTACATCAGAAAAGACAATAATAAATAATTACAATAATAAAAAAGGCAATTACATACTTATCAACACTCGATCCGTGTTATTCAAAGGTCAATATATGTAATTTTAAAATACGTGTCTAGTTAATTTAAAAATTGTACATAGGGCCTTCTATAATAAATGCTTACAACGATAAATTCTCATCATGTCAAAATAAAGTCTATTCTTTATATACTAAAAAACTGGAATGTGGAATTCTTATATATACAGCGTTATCCGAAGAGTCTGAGCACCATTATTAATAAGCACAAACCTCATTAAAAAACACTGGTACCTAAATCCTAAACTCAGCCACTGGATATACACCTTTATTGCTACGCTAATTGTCACATATGAATCATTCATCTACGAAAGCTACGAAAGCTGCAGAGACTAGCCAGCATAATGACAAGTGGAACGATGAAAACCACCCCGAACAGCAGCCCTTGAATTGCATTGGGGCTCCCCCCACTTCACTTCCCCCACTTCGCAATGACCCTAATAGCCAAGCTATAGTTGAATAGTAATCAATTAACAATATCACTCGATAACACTCGATAACCTAACATTCCTTTTAGGTAAGAAAATGCAAAGCGAGGAAGGACTAAACATCACCATATATGATATTTGCTCACCTAAATTTAACTTCAACCAAAGTTCCTAGTACTAATACCAAACAGAAATGACTGGGAACCGAACATACCTCCACTTTTGGTAGTACTAATAAAAAAGCATCTTAAGCTATACTTATTCTATAAGCTATATTCTTACATATATAAATTCTCAAGAAAATTTAGGAAATTTTAAATGTGAACATGGTATTACTCTCGGTCTACGCTGGTTTTAATTTTGACAGTTTGTTAAATACCTCATTTTTCTGGTTTATCAAAGTTATAATTTTCTTGCTTCTTCGTCTCGCAAAAAACGACAGTAAAATTCGACAATATGCAGAAGTCTTTAAACATCTAGATCTAGAGTAAATATGCAGAAATGATTTTTATAAACTATAGTGTTCAAATTTTAAAAATAACAATTTTACAACGATTAAGGTAATTTGTGTAGCTGTGGTTTACGCGTTAGTTCAAATTAATAACACAGTAATTGTTAATATGTATATAAATAAGTATATGGTATATAAATAAGTATATAATATAAATAATTTTAAATAAAGTTGTTAAATTCTAAATGTGAATAAAGTGAATTGAGTGCATATTTGATTAGTGTGTTAATATGCGAGTCCACGGTTCGAAATTGATAGAGTTCAATTTCTGACACTAATAGTAATAATTAATAATTATATATTAACAATTAAATTAATATATTTTTTAAAGGCCACTGATGATGCATTATTGGCGATATCCGAAACAGCTCTATGAGCAGCCATAGTATTCACTTAAATAAACATTTGAAAAAATTTTTTAATTTTAAAAATTTTTCCCTCTCTTACAGATTTTTTGTGATGAGATAAAAATAATTTTTAATTATAGTTTTTAATTATAATTTTTAATTTAAAAGCAGATATTTATCCTTATGTGAATTCTACTTTTATTTATATATATTATGTTTGTGTACCAACGTTCGAAAAGAAGATATTACTTTTTCTAATATCTGTAATATTTTATATATAAACATCTTATACAAACATACTTCAACATCTTAGTTTTTATATGTAAGGACTTTTGAAAAAAAAAATATAGTTCATCGCCCTTTTATATATATAGATCACTTTGTACGTTCACACTAATCTTACTGAAGTATTAAAAATGAAGGTTTAGTTACATATTATGTTATATAAATTTGTTTAAATATATATGTACATTTGAATATTCAAGACTGAAAAAAAATTTTGACGCGAACAAGTATGACATACATATATGATTAATCAAAATTTATATCTATGTATTATTGTAAATTGTGTTAATATAATAAACACTATTAATGATATATTTATAATCCTCAACTAGATTAAAGCTAGTTCACAATATACAATTAAAAATTGATTACTAATTGTATTTATAATTCTCATTATGTTGTAACACTTTGGTTTATAAATACATCAGCTAGGTTGAGTATACAATTGTAAAAATATTTTAATACAAATTTGTGCTCAATTGACCTTGTTTTTCGTCTTCTTCACTTTTTTCTAACGAGGAAGAAATTTAAATTTCTTATAAGAGACTTTAATTTTATAGAATTTGCGTTTAAAAATAAATTTTAAAATTGGATTGAAGGAATTTCAATGCCCTTATGAAATAATTAAATAAATAGTTAAATAATCAGTTTAAAATTCACATTTAGGATCTCGTTGAAGAATAGCTGGGCATCTACATTGGCTAGGCCTTGGAAATTTTCATGTTCGAACGAAATTGGGTATCTCTTTTAAGTCTTGTCTGCAAACCTAGACTTGTATGTGCTATTGAAAAAGTGAGAGTATGTGCACAAATTTAAAAAAGTTAAGCCAGTGTAAACAGAGAGTAATACTATGTTTACCCTTAAATTTATGAATTTTGTATACATTTTGTATAAAAATTAACACATATTCCTGTATGTTTGTGGGTGTTTGGGCAGCACTAATAATACTAAACATAGCGAAAGCGCCTGAAGAGAAATGCTAAGTCAGATCGAAAACAGAAAGGGTTTGTTATGGTCAGTAAAATAAATAAGTGTTATTTATGTCAAACAACTTTTATAACTCAACAATTTCTTTACTAAAGAAAGAAAAGGACGTTTTAGAGCTATATAAACCTTAACTTAGAAGTAAAATGAATTTTTCAGACATCAGTTCAAATTAAATAATATTTGAATTATTATAAATTATATTTAATATACTTTTATTATTAATTATATTTAAAATACTGTAATACTTAAAACATCGTTTATTAATTTAAAACCTAGAACTATTATTTTAGCGGTTCAAATTGGACATTTTCATATATATATTTAATTTTAAAATTAAAAACTAGAATACTTTACACATATTATTGAGAATATAAAAAGGCTTCCAATTTCACAATCGTTTTCGTAGTAAGATTCTTAAACCTACAGAATTATTGATTAATTTCTTAATTATTTATATTATAATAATTTATTTTATTTAAAAACAAAATATTAAATATTTTAATTATTTAATAAAGACAATTTGACAATCTGATTAGAGAAGAATTTATTTGGACTAACCTTATAACTTCTCTTAGGAATTTTGATGGTTCTTAAATATGTTTATTTGAATTCAAGGATTCGTATTAGAGGCAATCTAAAATATTTCAAATAATTTTCTTCTTTATATAAAAATCTTCAATTTTCTTCTTTTCATATAAAAACCAAAATACATTCACAATCTCATAACTCGAAATGCCATTCTGCAAAGAAAAGGTTGCTATTATGTATACTTCGAGTTAAAGAATTGTGTGTAAGGGCCTCTAAACCCTGTTGCACTCCATTTAGTTTAAATTACACAAAATTTGAGTTACACATGTTCGAGTAATGGAAGTTTGACTGTGTATTTCTTATGTTTAAATCAAATTCGTAATTGGAAATTTAGTTACGATTTTAAAACTTTCCTTTTGACCACAAATCAAAAAACTGATATCTATCGATATCTTAAAAACCTGCTCCACGGATTTTTTAATTATCATTTTCTGAGTTAGTAGTTAATACTAATACTTCAGTAAATATAGAATTTTTTTTTATTTATTTATATTTTATTTATATTTATATTGAACTCTTAATACAATTCACTAGTAATACCACGTGCATTCTGTGAGTGATGCATATTATTGCTAGAAATGAGACTCTGATCTGGTATCGCAATGGACCTTAATGGTCTAACCTTATCTTAACTTAACCTTATTTTACCGTTGAAGTTCAGTTTTAGGCCAAAATCTATTTTTATTTATTTATTATTTTTATTTATTTATTATTTTTATTTATTTATTATTTTTATTTATTTATAATTTTTATTTATTTATAATTTTTATTTATTTATTATTTTTATTTATTTATAATTTTTATTTATTTATTTGATCTGATATTATATATATTTATATGAACGAGGCTTATATTATTTTTTATTATAAAACTTTGTTTGAACATTATAAGGACATATTCTATGTATTAACATTTTCCACACAAAATTAAAGTTTTTTATAAAACGAAATATTGGCATAAAAAGGTTTATGACATAAACACATTCATTTATTTATCTATCTTGAGAGTTTAGACCACCTCCGATACAAAAGTTAGCTTTCCTAAGGAATCACCCTAAGGAAGATATATATTTCAAGTTTTTTATTTGTAAAAAATAAAACCTACGCTTATTACTATGTTAGCTATATATATAGTTTTTATATAATAATTTTTATATTAATATATATTTTTGACTTATTCGTTTACAGCTTGCAATATAAATTAAGTATCTTCTACTACATCCTTTTAAATTTTTTTCGAATTTAGGCCATTCCCTTCTATGCAAGTCAAATTTTATTATTTTGTTTATTTCGTATATTTTTATCTTGAGGTATGTCAAGATATTGTTATGTTCTATTTTTACAGAGAACTATAAATTATGATGATTAGACTTCATCATATGTATAGAATAATTTGGGTTCCTATTTTCTTAATTATTATTGTCTTTTAACTCTGTTATTAGAGTTTCTTCCAAAAATGCATCTAGTACAATATCTGCAATCTGTGTGGAGATATCAGAGCTTCTCTTTAAAAGTTTTAATATATTTTATTATACATACATCATGTAGCTTCAAAGATTAAGAAATTATCTATTTATTTGCTTTCTTATGCCATTAGATCAAAACTGAGATACTAGTTATATACTAGATATTCATATTGCATATGCTTGCTGCTAGCAACTTTAGTCGTCTGTCCAATTTATAGGCTGGTCTATTAATCTTAATTAAATAAGATTTATGTACTTATTTAATTTAATATAAATAATTTAATAATTTATCTCTCTATCTCTGTCTTATCCATGTTTCAAGTGTTGGATATATTAAATCTTAAATGATTTTTTTCGTTAGAATTATTGATTTGATTAGCCTTGGCTATTTCATCTCATTCTGGATTAATGGAAATCTAGATTGTTTGGATTAAAAAAAAATGCCAATAAAACTTTATGAATCCATTTTGAAGGAAAGCTTAATTAACAATTTTTTTTTTTATTTTTTCATTGCGTGCGATTTAAACCAAAATTATGTAAAAATTCTAAAATTGGAGTGTTTTTTTAATAACTTATCTCTTATTTGGCTGATGAAGTACCAAATTTGGACGCAAATTACATTCAAATTATATTCTTGGTCATGTACGTATTAGTATAGGAATTGTCATTTGAATTGCTTTTTGCAAAATAAATATTTGATTATAATTTGTACTCCATATACGACACAATTAAATCTAAAAATGGTGTGGACTTAATTTATGAGGTCAAAATGAACACATAAAGGCTTTCAGTACGAATTGTAAAAGTGCGATTAAAATGTGTTTTTCTAGTTTTATGAAAAATTTCAAATTATGCTCATTCCATATAAATACCTATATAAATATATCTATATAAATATATATATATAAATTTATATATATAAGTTATATAAATAAGCGGAATTTATATAATATTTACAAAACAATTTTTTCGCAAGAAATATTGTAATAGCCATTCAATAATATTTTATACATTAATATAGAAGGGATTTCACTACAAATATTAATTTCAAGATTAACATTTTGAAGTACCATTCTCATCGAGAAATTGGAATAACGAATAGGATTATGTATATCCTTGTTCATACTTTCATAATAGCTTTGCCTTTAGAACTCACTCAAGAAAGGATTGAGAGTCTTTGACGGGTCAAAGATAGATAAATGTACACGAGCCGAAATCTATACCGTAAAGCAAGGCATTTGTAAATTCTACTACCTTGGCGACTCTACTTCAATATTTTAGGCACAATTTTTTGCCATGCTATTTTCCCGCTTGTTTTTTTTACTGTAAGCATGGTCTTTCATAAAAGGAAGGTCTATATTCTCACTGATAGTCAAGCAGCTATTAAAGCTATTTTAACAGTCATGGAGTCAAACTCGGCCTGCCCTGTCGAACCTCTTGTAATCCATACCTACCGGCATTTAAAAAAGAGATACCAGAGCACCTTTTATGTTTTTGTCCAGGTTTGTTCAAAACCAGGCTGAAGCATTTTGGTGCCCAATGCTTTAATACACTCGCTGATATTTTCAACATTAATATTGATCAGATACTTGCAATTATTAATGCGTCCGGCTGGTTTTAGAATGCCCATAATTCTACGTACAATTACGAGAAATGTGGAAAGTGCTAATCAATTCACTAATAATTCTTAGTTAATTGAAGAAGATTGGATCCTCATTCAACTTTACCTACCTGCCTAGGTAAATAAGATGTTTTCTATAACAGTATTGTGTTCGTCATACAGTTTTTAATAGAGTAACCTCGAACCCTGATTGAATGCACATTTCAACTATATTTTAACTATAAAATAAAACTAATGATATGAAATGATAAACAATAAGACAACAACACTGTATTTGATCGTATAGGTGAAGCAGTTAAAAAATACCTGGTACAGGCCTTTGATATTGTTAGAGCCCTCGAATGTTAAAATATCTCAACTTGAATATATCTCTATATCTAGTACCAAAGAAAGTTTTAAACGAAATTGACATTCCTATAACAGGATACTTATAACTGAAAAAAAAACTTCTGATACCATTAAAAAGTTTCTTCACCACAGATACTAAGATCACTTCATTTATATTTTTTTTTTTCACTCGATAGACTTAGCTAACTTTTCGAAATTTTGGTTTACAAAATGAGTATAATTATAATTTACTAAGTGCGGCAATTCGGTAAATAGTTTTGTAGAGCTTAGTATTCTGAGGAACTCTTTTTCCTACGGTATATATATTAACGTAGTCTGGTCTTTGAGATATTTGATTTAAAGTATAAACTTTTATAATGATTATACTAAGCTATTTCATTTCATTAGATGGCCATTAGAGACGTGAGTCATCCTTGGCCGCGTCTAGTAGTCTCCGCCAGCCAGCCTGATTTATTGCTTACTGTCGCCAATTGGTAGTACCGAGCGCTCCTCAAATCGTTGGTCACCTGGTCCTTCCACCGAAGATGCGAATGTCCTCTATCATATTTTCTACCTGTGGCAAGCTCCGTTCTAACCGGAACACTTTCTTCTATTCGCACGACAAGGGACCATACCTCTTTCGAAAAATTTTGCTCTCGAATCCTCCTAATATCAGGCATGTTAAAAGATTTGTAGAGCGTGACTTTTGTTTGTCAGGAGAGGGCTTAATTTCTCAATTGCCTGCTTAACCCGAAATAACATCTCTTGGCAAGAGTGATCCTTCGTTGAATCTCTAGGCTGACGTAATTTTTAATGTTTAAGCTGGTTTCAAAATAAACAAAGTCGGACTTTCACAATTTCGGACTTATAATTGTCGACAGTGACGTGGTTCCCAAGACGCTCAGGAGATTTGCTTGTTGACAAGAAGTACAAAGTACAAAACAAAGCTATGTTAATATAAATTAGTCATTAAATTATGAGGATTAGGAAATCGGTAATATGTTTACTAGTGACGGAGATGAAGGAATTCTCTCTTTCATATTTGTCTTAGGCAGAAAACATATTTTATGAACAGTTTCATATAAAGAACTGTTCAGTTTAAGGACTATCCAGCTGATACTATTTCAGATAATGAGAAATGAGGTACCATCAAGAATCTGGAATTGGTTCATGGTATTTATATTGAAATTTTTAATAAATGTATATGTAAATGATGCAAAAGTAGATAGAAACTTTTCATTTTTGAATATTCTCTCGAAGTTTATTAAGTGCGTGCAGTACAAGTTTTCAAATATAGAGCATTCGCTCTATATTTTTGGCAGGTATATTATATGGAATTTAAATTTTAATTTTATTTGAATATATATATATAAAATATGTGATATATAAAAATATACTAATTCACAACATTTTGTTTATTTTTGCAGTAGTGATAGTGCATCTGTGGCATCAGATTTGACCCGCATGTACGTCAGTGATGAAGATGAGAAGCCAGAATTTCAAGTTACGCACTTCCATTGAGGACATTTTTACTATTTATGAATACAAAAGTTAATTATTAATATTAAATGTAACAAATATCTGAAATCGTGGTACAAGGAACCGTTTGCCTTCAGTAAAATTTATTATAGTAAAAATAGTCAAATTGTATGTGAGATAGGCGATGCCATCTTGTAATTGCTGTTAAAAATATTTTTCCAATTCGTTACAGAGTAAATATTTTTACTTATTAATTTTTTTTTTGTTTTATTGGCTTAAAAATATGGAAATTATTATTTATGTGTGTATTTTTTATGATAATGATTATTTTTCAAATAATTGAAATTGTTCCAAAAAATTGGTATAATTTGGTATAATTAAAAAATAAAATATTTCAAAAAATTAAATTTATCAATGTAAGATATATATTTTTTTATTAGAAGATTGTAAATCTAAAATTATTAATTAAACAATTGTGAAATGGGAAATACTATGTATAGTAGAATGAATTTAAAATGATGGCTATTACTGATGTAAACACATACATTAATACGTTATATGTTAGATTTATTTATATATCGTTTTAACGATTTTAAGTCATTACTGCTTTTGCATTAAAAATTTTATAAAAAAATTATTCAACATAACACAATGAGGGATATAAATTTATACAATAATAATATTATATTATAAAAAAATTTCAAAGTGTTTTATTTTTCAATAATTATTTTCACATATAATATTATTTTACTAATATTATTTTAATTATATTATTTTACTAATATTATTTTACTAATACTATTTTACTAATATTTTAAATTAATTATATTTAAATAAGTTTTGCCAACACCAATGTAAAAATTTTCTTACTATAATTTTAATTTAATTATAAATAGTAAATATTAATTTCCCAATTTGAAATATTTGTTTTGCTTAAAACTTAAAGAAACTTCAAAATATTATGTAGTTATGGCAAAAAACTTAGTCTGAGGTCAGATCCGTACCCATATATTATTGTATATGTACATATTGTTATAAAGAAAAATGATACTTTTTTTGGAGACTTTTAATGAATAATTTGTTATAATGAAACAGAAAATATTAGTCAATTATAAGTCAAATCTTAAATTTTCCATGGATTCCTTACTATCTTTACAGTTTTAAGTAAAAGAAAATATGAGTGCTGTTTTAAGTTAAGAAGAATACTATATAAATGAAGATATTATTAGAAATCGGACATATAATTCTAGTATACTTATATAGTGCATCGTTGATCTTATGAGTATTTAAAGTCTTATTAGATATAATATGATTAAAATTAATGGTAACAGTTCTAAAAACAGGACATCAGCAATATGTTCCAGTTGCCACTTATATGAATAAAAACTTGCATTACTTATAGGTATATTTTCATCAGTTCAAGATATTTTCAAAGTAGGTACTTGAGACCCCTCTTTTTCATGAAATGAAGTTATTGTGATTTTAAATAAAACAACTTATAATTGATATACATTACAAGTAAATATAATTTATTAAGACATCTATAGATAACGAAACTATAATAACTTTATAACTTCTTGATTTTCATTCAATGATTAATTTAAATACGATACCTTTGAATTATTGGTATTAATTTTATTAAATAATTATCCTTATTTACCTTAAAAATATTATTCCTAATTTTAATTTAAATAAATTTATTATATGTAGTGTGTTTCGGAAAAAATGGTTTGACTGGTGTCCCGTTTTATTATTAACCGAGATTCAGTATGTTAAAGCTGGCTATTCCAGAAATAAACTTGTAGTCATTAAACATTAATTATTCCAAAAACTGTGTTTATTTATTTATTTTCAGTTAATTAAAAATCTTGATTTAAAAGCTATAACGGTTTGAAATTAAATTTTTTTTTTTAATTTTTCATACATTTTTACGAAAATACTATTCTCAAATTTTTTATAATATTTTACTCGTCATTTTATGTATATTAATGTTATTATTATTGTTAAAAAGAAGGGATAGTGCACTGTGACCTAAAGGATCTATTGTAGCACTTAGTCGGATAAGAGTGTTTCTCGAAGTCGGATTTCTTTAATGAAAAACAATATAGAGCCTATCTTTCTTAGTCTTGGATGTGTATGAAACACCCTCCTAGGTGTTTCTTCCGGTTGTGCATCAGTGCCGGGAACTCCTCAAGCACATGGTATGCAGTTTCTCTCTTTTCTCTACAGTATCTACAGTCTGAGAATTAACATGCTAATATCGTACAAATATTTCGTACTCATGATTTTTTCTGCTATCACGCACTATTTTGCTGTGATAGTTTCTTAAAGCGGACTAACTGTTTCTTTTATCAACAAAAAATCTACAAATTTTACAATGCATATAAAAATAGAATATATGTACATTAGAAAATGTATGGCTAAACTTGAAGGATGAAGGTGGTTCTGAGTATACAATTATTTATTATTAAACCCCAACATATAAGTTTAATATATATGATATATTATTTCTTTTTGTATTCAGAATAGGTCCATTATTGTTAGACGAAATTGTATGAATTATATCTAAAAATAACAAGAATATTGCATACATTACAATACCAATAAAAATTGCTGCACTTCAGAGATTTGCTTCCTGAGACTATAGCTCATAAGCCTAGTACTTAAAATTACAACTTTTAGGGCCACATACTTGTAACATAAGTAATAAGAGGAAAATATATTTACTATTTTTATAAAAATCTCTACAATTTTATTAATTACTATGTATTATTATTATGAAAATAGAATAGTACACTATCATAGTCGGATTAGAGTGCCGGGCACTTCCTTTGCAGATGGTATGCGGTTTTTCTCTCTTCTGTAAAGTATCTGCAGTCTGAGTAGGATGGGATAATAAAAATGTATACACACATAGAATATAATAATGTACAAATAAATATATACATATTTATAAACATATTTTAAAATATATATTTATTTATTTAATTCTTGAACTCCTAGGAATAGCATAGGCCGCTAATATATGTTAAGTATGTAAAAAATTAAGAAAATTTACTTATATATACCAATATGTTAGCAGCTAATAATCACCGGAAACAGTTTCATATAGAGAACTATTTAGATTAGGGACTATTCAACTGATACTATTTTAGATAAAGAGAAATGAGGTACCGTCAACAGTTTGGATTTTCTTCATGGATTTTATATTGAAAATTTTAATACATATATAGGTAAATAAAAAATATTTAAGCAAAAATATTAATTGCAAAAATTACGATCAGCAAATACAGTGGACTTAAATTTACCCACTGAAAAATAAAAATCTTTGTTGAATTTCTACCTGCTATTGTAGTGTTAGTGTTGCAATCGGTTTATATCTTTGGTTAGAAAATAAAATTAAAATTAAAATTAAATGGTTATTTGAATTGATAATTTAATACTTTTAAAAATAATTGAATTTACCAGCTCGATGACACGCCTTTTGAGTTTTTCTATTTGGCCGCACAAAACATAAAGTTTAAAAATTAAAAATAAAATATTTCATTGGCATAGCTTTTAATAGCTGTCAATCACACATAATAGAACACATTTTTCTCTGTTAAAAAAATGATTTTTAAAAATATAAAACCGAATAACTACAAACCTCTAACTATGAGATACAGTTGCATCAAGCAATCGAAAATATTTAAATCCGTAAATAAATGCATTTCAGTCAACATCGATAAATGTGCAGGGGCCCAACAAGAACCACACCTCAGATCAATAGGAAACGAAATCGAAGCAATACAATTTACTGCATCTTTTACATGCCAAACAAATTGCCAGTACCGAAGATGCACCCACTGCCAAATTTGGCGAAGTCGTGGAGAACGCGAAATTGAGTTGCAAATTAATCTGAACTTTGTTGATTTTTATTTTTATTACCATTCTGAGATTGCGTGAAGTCAAAAAAACAAAACAAAAAAACAATGAATTTATAGTTTTGTTCAAGAAACTATTTTAAACCCAGTGAGCAGTGCATTTTCTTAAGAAATCTGCATTCTCAGAACATTATATTAATAATTTGTTTACATTCAAAAGCGAGACTTTTCTGCTCTAAAATAATTAACTTTAAAATACCAAACAAAAAGGCGTACTTAATGATTTGTTTGAAAAAAAAAACAATATATTTTGCAAAAATCACAATATAAATATCTAAATATATTCTGTTGATTGTTATCGGAACTAATATTATTGTTAAGTACGTAGCTGGTTCTACAACTGAACAAGGTTCTAGCTTGGAAATCTACAGAGTACTAAGTATCCTCCAGTCTAGGAAGAATACCTTCATTATTTCAAACTAAAATCGATTCTATAAATATGTGTAGTAGATATAGATAGATATCTAAATAGATACTATCAAAAAACTCAAGACCCAAAAAAATAATCCTCATGCCAGATAGTCAGGCTGCCATTACAGCATTAGGTTAATAGACTCAACCTCAACAAACTCTCAACTCGATACCTGAACACAGTTCTTTTGGTATCACTGAAGTGTTGAAGAAATTGACAACGGAAGTTGATTCATGGCAACCGACCTCTACAAAATCTCCACTGTTTTGGAAGTGAACCTTACACAACCTTGCTACTAGGAAATAAGTAATTTTACACTCTATACCTGTACACAGTTGTCTTGATGACCCTGAAGTGGTAAACGAATTGTCTACAGATGCCGATTTATGGTCACCATATGGACTGGAGTCAATTCTGGGTGTCATGTGGTAGCTAATATTACTTAAAATGCTTAGGTATTCTGAATTTTATAAGTAAAGCTAATTATAAATAGTCTTACGGGGAAGGAACATACTACGTTAAATTTTTTCTCTGAAAATACTTTGAAAAAAAAAACAAATATTTATTTAATTTAAATAGATCAAATCTATAAACATTGATTTCTATAATAACTGGTCACTGCTTTTTAAACAAACAGAAGATACAGAAATACTTCTTTAAACTCTTGAAGAAAGTCTTTTTGAATACAGAAAAAAAAAATTGTTCTACAAAAATTAATCCACGAATAAGAGTGATCAAACAACGACAAATAAAAGATTAAGACTTTTATGGACATAGATAAAGCGAAAAAAAATCTTAAGTGAATAAGTGCAGGACACAATAGACCAATAATGGACACAGTATCACAGACAGTATATGTTTAATCTATTTAACTATAATAATAATGTGGAAACATCGGAATAATTAAATTCATAATTTACTAATAAACAA